AGAGGGAGGGAGACGCCAGCGCCTTTCGCTCGTCGTGATTACAGGCCATTCCGTCAGTTTAACTTTTGTAGGGGTTTAAAAAATGCATCAGCAGAGACATAGGGAAAAAAGTTTTTGAAACAATAACTGCGAGGGGAATGCCCTCGTGTATGTCCCATTTCATGTATATATATTTTTAAAAATATTTTACATTTTTAGTTACAAGGCAGGGCAAAGCGCGTGTATCGAGAGGCTACTAATGCGTTGCTCCACGACCTGACAATGAGAGAGGCCGACCGATATCATGTTAGTTCCCTGGGAAACGCATTCAATCAGTCAGTCAGTCAGTCAGTCGAAGCGTTGAGAGAGAGAGAAAAAGGAAGAGAGGGAGAGAGGAAACGGGAGAGAGGGGAAACGAGGGAGGAAGAGAGATAGAGAGAAGAAGAGAGAGAGAGAGAGAGAGAGAGAGTGAGACAGAGAAAGAGAGCGATTGAGCCTGCTGACCTGCGCCAACAATCGACAGAGAGGGAGAGGGAAGGGCTCCGTGGAGGCTCCAGCCGGCCCGGATGGGAGAGCATTGCTCAGAGCAAGGGTCATTGTGAGGGAGAAAAGCAAACACGAAACGAGGCCAGCAAGAGACACGAGTGAACGACAAGCGCACCACACCGAGCACGATAACAGCCACACCACATCGTACAATGGATGGATAACTTTTCTCAAAATCCCCAATACATTTGTCCTCGATTTCGTTTCGTCTTACTACCATTCAAAAACAGAGGTGATAAGAAACAAAAAGAAAAGAGAAGAAAAATAATGTGTAAGAAGAAAAACAGACAAAAACGCCTGGGGTCGTGTAGGTAGGCAGTCCCGTAGAGCACGGGCGTGCGTGAGTTGCCTACCCAGCCGGGCGCCTTGGCAGGACGCAGCGGCGGGGTGGCGGACAGGACACGACGGCGCGCGCCGCAGGTAGCGTCCATCCTGGTTCAGGGGGTTGTCAACCTGTTCGGGGAGCAGCGGACCCCCTGGCGCGGCGGTCTCGTCACGGCCTCGTCACGGTCTCGTCGCGGCATCGTCACGGCATCGTGCTATACGGCGCCGTGGCGACGCCGTGTTTGTTCTACATTTCGGTCGTCGCGTCCGTCACGGCGCCGTGGTTCGTGACGCCCGTCTAGACGACGCTATGTGCCCGTCACACACACACACGCGCGCGCAACGAAGACGTCCAACACTAACCCAGGATCCCGTGGAGCCCCAGCGCCGCAGCCGGCGCAGGTTGGGCCCGCGTCGGAAGGCGGAGGGCCCGGCGGGCTCGGCGCACAGGTCCAGGGGCCCGTGCAGGGCGGCGCTCGACCCGACCCGGCGCCGCGACGCCTCGGACACGGCCGGCGCCGGGTTCACGTGCCAGATGAAGAGCCACATGGCGGGTGGAGGACGACGACGACGCGCGGGCCGGCGACACTAGGACGTGGTGGTGATGCAGGGCGCCGGGCAGGCCGTCGCGGCCAGGCGCGGACCCATGACACACTCGCGACACAACACGACGCGACACACACAACACACACAGACAACAACGCGCGCACGCGGCGGCGAGTGGAGAACGACTAACGAGAGCCCTGCCCAGCCCACCCGGCACGGCGGGCTGGAGAGCGCCCCGCCCCGCCCTCCCCGCGGCCCTAGGCCCCCCACCGCCCCCCCCCCACCTCTTCTTTCTCCCTACCTACCTCCATACACTCCGCGCTATACTACAACCTCATGGCCGCGGGGCGCGGTGGGGCGGTGGGGCGGCGGGGCGGACGCCGTCAAGGCAGAGGAGTGAGTGCTGCGGGGGGTGGCACAGCAAGCACCTCGACGAGGGTAAAAGTAAGTAAGGGGAGGATGTGGGGGGTCATCACTTGGAGGATGCCACACATCACACACATACACACGCACACATGCAGGAGCCGAGGTCAATAAGCGCAGGACACGCACGCTGCTCCTTTGATCGAGCCAAACAAACAACAAAAAGAACACACACACACACGCACGCAAGCAAATGTGTGTGTAATGCTGCTGACAGTCGAATCCCGCGCCTTTTCCAAACTCTTTTTGCCCGCACTCCGCGCGACAGACACGCGCGAGGGCGGACCTTTACAAAATAAGGAGGTCGTTCGGCGGGTCGGGTCGCGGGTCTCGTCGGGTCGCGGGGGGTCGGCCCCGCACGCCAGTCTCCCTCTATTCACTGTGATGTGGGCCGCAGGGCTGGCCCGGCCCGGCCCGGCCCCGAATAAACCGTTCACCGCCGCACGCTTATTGCTCTCTCGCTCCGCCAAAGTCAAAACGTCGCCAAACCGTTAGCCCTGGTTCTCCAGCTCCGCCATGAGCAGCGGCACAGCATGGCATGGCGGTGCCGGGGCAAAAGCGCGAGCATAGCGCGGCGGGCGGGGAGGGCAAGCTCGTCGAGAGAGCAGCGCGAGGGGGCGTTTTGTACCGTTCCAATGACGGGCAGATTCACATCGCGCAGGCAGAGCGGACCCACGGCACGGCACAGCCCAGCCCGCCCATGGCCCGGCCCCGCCCCGCCCTGCGCAGCGCGCAGCTCAACTACTGTCATGCCAAAGTCATTCCGGTTTGATCTCAAGGACCATTTATATTTATTATTTTTTTTTCGCATTGCATCGAATTAAACAAATAGTGTAGTATTAAAACTACCATCGCGATAAGAAGAATAAACTAATTGACAGATATTACTGTAGATCATTGTGTATAGATCAAGAACCAAGGCTGTATAATGCACTGCACAACCACGACACGAGACAAGACAAATAAGGCGCTCGTTTTCCATTTCTTTTGTGGATACCAATAAATAAAATTTAGCCGAAAAGCTTTTCGGACTCGAAGGCGCGATTTCGAAGGGAAAACGCGACACGCGAGATGGAAATCAACGGCGACCTTTCCATGGGTGTGTCCGACTCCGGTGCAGCAGACGCAGCAGCAGCGCTGCGCTGTCGCCCTGTAATGGCTTCATGCTCCTCGCGCCCCGCCCCGCCCCGCGCCCCATCCTCGCCCGACACTCTGCACTGCTCCCATTTAAAAGGGAAAGTCCACACCGCCTTTCGGAAACGCCGAGCGGCGTGGCGCAGCGTGGCTCGGTGCAGCGGGCGGGCGGGCGGCGGCAGCAGCGAGCGTGCGCGCGCGCGGTTCAAACGCAGCAGCAGCAGCAGCAGCGTATACAGTGCGGTCGGCTCGCTCCGGAATGACGTGGCGGGGCGTGGCGGGGCGGGGAAGAGCCAAAGCGATATACGTCCAAACAACAGAACTTCACATAGCATCAGCCGCCGCCGCCGCGCGGTTTGAAATGTGAAGCGCGCGCGTTTCAAATATCATCATATCGGGTCGGACGGCAAACAGGTAGAACTGCACGAGCGGGTAGGGGTAATACGACGACGACGGCGGCCGCTGCAGCGTGGACGCGGTCAGGAGTCTGCCGGTCGGTCCAGCAGCGCTTCCGCGAACACCTCATCACCAATACGACGACGGGGGTCATCATCACCTCCAGCCCGGTGGCGCAGGGCTCCGTAACACCCGCAGGGCACACTCCCACGCGCGCCACGGGGCCCCTGCTATTGCTGCTGCTGGTCGCGGAAACGACGTCATGATGATGATTATAATAATTATAGTGCAGTTCGACTACTGCGCCTGCCCTGCCCTGCCTGCTGCCGCGGACTATATACGACGACCAAAGCAAACAAAGAATTCAATCGAAGAAAAAGAAAAGAGGGGAAATAAAAAGGACTCCGAGGGAATGACCACTTGGTGGGGGTGGGCGTCGCGGCGGTCGCGCCACCGCCGGCGCCACAGGAGCCGCGCTCGGCGCTGCAAATCACCGGAAACGAACTCGGCCCGCCGCCGCGCGCCTCCGCCGCCACCGCGGTGCCTGCGCGCGCTCTCGGCGCGGCTCGTGTTGTTCAAGTCCTATGGGAAACTGGCAGGCTGGGAAAGGGGGCGGGGGCAGAGGAGGATGATGGTCACGGGGAGGCGCCGGAGGCAGGCGGCGGCCCGCCGATGTTGTCCGATTGTCCCGTCGACACCTCTATGGCGCTAGCCGGCGCCGCCGCCGCCGCCGCCGCCAAGGAGCATATGCAGGGAAGTGTCTTGTTACCGCAAGCCGCGCAGTAGTGCATAGTCGTAGTAGTAGTAACTAGCAGCAACTGCGCGTGTTTGGTAGTAACAGGAACGCTCTGCTGACAGTGGCACGCGCACAGCGCAGAGTGCAGCGGTATCGTTTTTATACATTATTGGCCCAGACACACACACACACACCTGCAGTATGCACGTGCTTTCCGATGCAACGAGGTGGCGCGGCGCGCCGGCGCCACCGACGCGATGCCGCTCCACCTCACCCCGCCCCGCCCCGCCAGCGGAAAAGGCACCCGTCGGCCGCCGCGGCGCAAACGTGCAAAGGGGGAACCAGTTCACTCCACTTGTTCAGCACAATGGGTCGGATGCGCCCCTCCCTGGCCCCTCCCCCGCGCCGCCTTTGGCCGCCTTCCTCCGGATGGCCCCGGTGCGGTCGGAGGTGCAATCCATCCGCTGCCCCTCTACCCTCCTCCCTCCCCCCGCGCGACTCCTGGGAACGTATTAGCTAACACTCCGCGCCGCGTTAGCCGATCCTTGTACGTTATTATGACGGTTTTGCTTCAACAGACGCGTCGCGATCGCGGTAAAGGGGGGAGAGGGAGGGGGCGACCAAGGGGAAGTGGGCTTCAAGTCATGCACAGAGACTCGTCTCGTCAAAGTTCATGCGCTCCGGCCAGAGTTCACACGAGCTAAAGTTTGCCACCGAAACATACCATCAAAGTTTCGCGAACTTCAATCAAAGTTCACCAAAGTTCAAGCCCACCCTTGAGGGGGCGCGAGAGACTCGGAAACTTGGGAAAATAGTCTGCAGCGCAATTCAAAACCTTATACACTGACATTGAAAGTCGGTGACAGACCCCTACAACCCCCTTCCCTAAGCAGATCGAGTTTGTTGCAGTACTCACCTCTGGAGGGCGTTCCTTGTAGAGCCCCAACTCGGACCCGCGGACTGTCGCCCACACCTGCTTCCAGGACCGATCGGTGGCTCGCTGTAAACAAAAAAATGACACAGCACACGATTAGACAAAAATTGACACAATTTGTACTAGACTTCACCATAGACCTTTGAAGCCTTTTACCTTGCCGTCGATGAAGGTGATCTTGCAGTGCAGCCAGCCCTCCCTGTCCCGGTGCAAGAGACCCGGCGCGCTGTCCTTGGTCGACGACGTCCTCGGCGACCCTCTTGGCGACGAGCCGGAGCCGGCCGTCGTGGCCACCGCGGCCCCGGACCTCGCCGCGGAGCTGCAACACCCAAAGCGTGGGGCACGTCAAACAAAAGCAAACGCCCGGATGACAAATCCAAAAATAATAAGAGGGGTAAAGAAAACGGGCGTGTCGAGTTAGCAGCGTCGTCGCACGGCTCGGTCTTAAACACACAATTAGGCTGGTTAAGCTCACCCGAGGTTCATTGGACGACCCACAACTTTTTCCCCTCTACTCCCTTCCCTGTGTCGCGTCGCCGCCGCGGCTGCTCCTGGTCGATGGACTTTCTACTTGCTTGCAGAGTTTCATTTCCTTATCGAATTTGCTGCTCTCCGTGTCGCAGAGAGTCAGGTTGGCAGCCATAGCAAACGACCAAGCAAGTAACGCCGCGCCGCCTGACTTACGCGACCAAAGAGAGCAGAGGGAGGGA